CTCGGTTGAATAAGTAAGTTCCTTATTACAGTCTTCACAGACTGAATTTTCCTGGGAAAGCCCTATGGCAGGTGTGGTGCTGCAGCATTCCAGAAGCCTGGGGCAGCTGCAGCCAGAGTGACATGGCTAGAAACATGGTACCTACTACATGGGTATTACTTCTGGGTGGGCCAGAAGCCTGGGACCACTGAGGCTTGCCAATTGCTAAGGGATGTCCAGAGGCCAGGTCCACTAATGTCAACCTAATAGTGAGATCGGGTTGGCCAAGCAAGCCTGTAACCTCGAGCTATGTGGTCCTACCTGCCACTGGGGCATGTGTAGAGGCTTAGTCTGTGGTTACCAGCCTGATATATGGTACCATGAGGGTCTGCCTAGTGCTGGGTTTTACTGTGGCAGGCCTGGTGTTAGGGTCCAAGGCAAAGTCCTGTGCCCACTTCCTTCTTTTTTCCCCAAGTGGATGGTATACTTTTCTGCACTGTGCTGCTTGGGATGGGGGAAGGATGATATGGGTAATGTAATATAAATTTGTCCTGCCTACTCCCATTAATGTGCCTTTTCTTATTATTGTGCTACAGCTGAGTATTATGACATCTCACCTGATTTCCTTAGCTCTTTTGAAGCTATTTTCACATATGAATACTTGCTCAAATTGATGTTTCTGTTAGAGAATAATCACAGGAGAGTCCTGTTTCACTAACTGGCTTTACTACTCCTCACCCACTTTGAAACCTGCCAATGCCCTAACTAGCACTAGACCACCCTGGCCTTTCCTGATATCGGCACCCTCTCCTCACACGTCTGTGGTTGTGGAGGATTTTTATCACATGTTTGGATTGATCAGTGAGCAAGAGACTAGGGTCATTTTGAGTGTTGGTTTGCCATTTGCACAAAAATTATAGATCTCACCTAAACAAGGAAACTATTGGAGTTGTTAGATATAGTGACTAAAAATCCAAATGCCATCTTACCATCAGAACACTGGCCCCTTGTTGTCTTCCTGCACTCTGGGGATTGGTGGTATCCTAACTTTGAGAAAATGTCAGAAATAGGGACAAGGAGAGCTGCTGAAAGGGGAGGACAAAACTTCAAACAGGGGTCCATTTCTGACAGCATATAAAGAGGGTGAACGTGAAATCTGGGGTCATCAGCCAATAAATGGTTTATTAACCTAATGTTATGATATATGCAGTATAATATTATGAACATTTCCAGTCTTTATAGCTTCTCTCAAGTTTTCAAATTGGAACAAGCAACTTTGCAGCTGAATACAAAATTCCATCTTGTGTAAGCAGTAATTGGTTAAGACTATTAACTTTTTGATAAAGCTATGTAACTGGCACTTCCTTGTGAACACATTAATGTGTAAATATTGTTCACCAGCCATTCCTCAGAGTGAAATATTTGAGAGTAAGACTGGAAACTATAGAAGTCTGAGCCAATTGCAACCAACGTTTGCCTAATTCCAGGGCTTCTATTAATTCCTTTTTAGCATGCTTTCTTGCTAACTAGAATAATTAATACTAGACCTCATGTTACTTAGATTAGAATCAAGGAGTTGTTTGGATATTAATAGATTTTGATTCATACAGTTTGAAAAAGACTTTGAATCGTTTCTCACTGTTCAATTTCAAAACTCCAGAAAGGAGATCTTAAATTCAATAAAATGATCAGGAAGAATAAGGTCCTCTCCAGAAAGAGAAATAATAATGCTCTAAGTACCTTAAAGTATTTGATTATTGATGTTCATTTATTTTCCAATGTTATCTCTGTAACATATCTTTTACTTAAGGCTAAGATACAAACCCTTATGGCAAGTCTGTAGAAAGTTTTGCTGCTTAAACTCTGATGTTTTTGTGGCTATAAATCACAGATTTTCAGAACTGGTGGAGACTTTAAAGTTGTCTGACCTGATTTTCTTATTTTGTGGGCAATAAATTTAATTGTTCCCCTAAACAACACCCATGCACAAAGACCTCCATGTGACATGTTTATCACTGTATTTCTAGGGCTTAGCACAGTTCCTGACACATAGTGGAGCTCAATAAACATTTGTTGATGGGTTTACTGATTGACAGAATAAGGCTCACACACCTAATTAGTTGTAGAGATCTCTGATCTTCTGGGTATCAGTCTGTATTAGTCTGTTCTTGCATTGCTATAAAGAACTACCTGAGACTGGGTAATTTATAAAGAAAAGAGGTTTAATTGACACATAGTTCCACAGGCTGTACAGGAAGCATGACTGTGGAGGCCACAGGAAACTTATAATCATGGCAGAAGGTAAAGGGGAAGCAGGCACATCTTACGTAACAGAGAAGGAGAAAGAGAGCAAAGACACACTTATAAACAACTAGATCTCACGAGAACTCACTCACTATCATGACAACAGTAATAGGGAAATCCACCCCCATGATCCAATCACCTCCCATCAGGCCCCTCCTCCAACACTGAGGATTACAATTTGACATGAGATTTGGGTAGGAACACAAATCCAAACCATATCGCGGTCCATTGTCCCCCTTTGCACCAGTTAAAATATTATTACAATTCATCCCAGTTTTCAGGGAAAAACTCTCAAATGTTCAAATTTGCAGTTAAAAACATCTGCAGCCTTTTCCATTAACCAAAACCTGAACAAAAGGGAATTCTGTGTTGGAACGCATACATTTCTCTCTCCATAGTTCCTAAAGTGGAGTACTTCTGCATCTCTACAGAAGACAGGGAGATAGTAGAGAGGACATCTTGGGTCTCTTTATCTACCTACCTACTTGATATTAGGGATAGTAAAGGGTTTGATTTCCATCATACACTTCATAGAAAAGTACCATAAATTCTCATCCCACTTGTGCAGCTCCTGATTCCATTTTTTTGGGTTTATAGGAGACTTTCAGATAAATCCGTTAAATGAGGCGTAAGGCCTCTGAAATTGCTACTCAAAATTTTTTCTTTCCATGCAGACCAATGACATAAGAAGACTGTGACAACTGGATATTTTTCTTGAGATATGATAAAGCTCTACATGTGCCTTTCCAGAGGTAGGCTGCTGTCACTATGGACACTTGCCTTCTGCTGATGGAAAGGTACTAAAAGGATTTCGGAAATTCCTAGTCTCTTTGCCCTTTGCTGGAATGGTAATCCAGCAGTCTTCAAAGAGGCTTGGATGCAGGCAGAATTACTCTGGATCCACTTTGATCACCAAGCTGGCCAGCCCAGCCTAATGTAGTCTGGGGTGATGGCCTAATGTAGGGCTGGAAAACTTGACCAGATAATGCTTAAAATTCTATTAGAGATGGTGTAAAGGGAGAAAGAAGGTCTTTAGAGTGCTTTTGTCTCCTGTTCCTCAGATTCCTTCTCTTCTGAAAGAATAAACATATGATGATACCCAGACAAGGAAAGAATCCCAAATTTTGTCCTTAAGACACCCAGAACCATGGCCTCTGGGTTCCTCCTCATAGTCCACCTCCCTGTGCCTGGTCTTGTGAGTTCCTGCTGCTCCCTTTTGCAAGACAATGTGCTATAACAACTGCACACCCTATTCAACTGTTTGTAGAAAACAGCAAAGGCCCTTCAGTTTACAAACAGCACTCCACTTGAAGACTGTTGAGTGACCATCTTTGGTATATAGCTTTAATTTAGAGGCTGTACTCCTATTGCCTACTGCCTTCTTTCAACAAAACGTGGTTTTTCCTCTTGGTAGCTTCTGGGAGAATATGATGTTTGCTAGTTCGTTTCCTTTGTGAAAACTGGGTTGTCTGTGGAAATATCTTTTACTGTAGGTGGGAAAACTTCATGTGAAAAGTTCAAATCTGTAAAGCTGCATTTTGAGAAACCCTCTATTATACTGATTTTTCCATGGTATTTTCTAATTCCACCTTTAAATCTCTCTAAAGGCAGTGGTTTTCAAGGTTGGCTATACCTTTGTCTCATGGGAGAAGCTTACAAACAGCCCATGGTCTTCCCTAGATCAATTAAGTCTGAGTTTTTGAGGATGTTAGTCACCCAAGCACTGACATATGTGTGTGTGTGTGTGTGTGTGTGTGTGTGTGTGTGTGTTTCTGCCTATGCATCCTCTTGTTACTGCTTTTGCTGTGGCTTTGTGAGGACATGACACTTAGAGGCTTTGCAACCAGTTTGGACCCCAGGAGGAGTGCTGACAATACTAAGATTCTGTCTGAAAGTCACACACAGCCTAGTTCCAGAGTCCTCAACCCCAATAATTCCTTCCTCCTTGATCCATCATCTATTTGTCAGATATGCTGAACAAAACCAAAAGCACTTGGCACACATCCATGAAGCCAAGCCCGGTGGAAGTCTTCTAGTAATTTCCTATTGGCCATAGGATAACGTGCAACTCCTTAACATGACTGAGAAGGTCATATGGGCTCTGGCTGCTGCCAGCCTACAGTCCATGTGTCACTACTCTTTCCACCCCAGGCTTCACGGTAGCCATTGCAGCACATCCTGGTTTCTGTACATGTCCATCCTCTCTTGAAAACTCTCCTCTCCACCTCCAGGATCCTGTCAATGTCTACCCACCTTTCAGTCAACAGCTTAGACATTTCTATTCTGGAAAGCCTTCCCCAACATCACACATTGAATTAACTTCCTCCTCTATTTTTCCCAAGCATTTGGATTTGATTTATCACGAAGCTTAGTGTTCTGCATTGAAATCTTCTATTCATTCATTCATCTCTCCCTCTGCATTGTAACATCCCTGAAGGTAAGGACTATGCTCATCTTGTTCCTTGCTGAATCTCCACAAGGGCATTTGCAATACAAACTTGTAGCACAAATAATTAAAAGTGAGGTAAACTCGGAAAACAATGACGCTAACAGGTTCATTGGTTTATACGGGAGAGCTAAGGGGCACACGGTTTTTGTGAAATAAGTCAAAGGGTTCTGCCTTTCACCATACATATGATTTATCACAAAGGGTAGATGGAGTGGTGTGTGATATGCACATTGAAGACCCAGGTAACATGGAGGGGATCACAGATTACCTGATAGTTTTGATCATGCTGAGACCCATTTCAACACAGCAGTGGGCATGGTCCTGGCGGGGCTCAGGAAGTCCAGACACGCAGTAGTAGCAGTCCCCCAGAATTTTAATACGAAGGCAGTGATGCTCCTGGAAGGAACAGGATAAGAGGGAAGGGTCTATGTCAGCAGAAGGATCAGTTCTTCAGAAAGGCTTGAGAAAGAGGCGAGCAGGACTAGGTGGTCTGAAATTTGGGGTAAGGAGCACCTACCTTTGAAATACACTTCTAACTGTCTTTCTAAGATATTTGAGGTGTAACCTAAATGGGGGTTTGAAGGACCCAGAGGTGGAGTGGAATCATAAAAAAAATTGGATTTTGAGCTCAAAAGCTACATGGTTATATCCAAGCTTTGCTATCTACTAGCTCTATGGTCTGCACACCTGTCACTTGGCCAGGCCTGACAGAGTGATCATAGTATCTCCTACAAATTCAGCCCCAAACAATGTCTCTCTTCTCAGAAGCAGCTGTGAATTAACAACTTTCATCAGTCTTTAGCTTAATAATAAGCACTTAAAAATGTACATCACTTAGGGATTCCTATTACTTCAACTTGATAAAGTTCCTTTCCAGCAAGGACATTGGCACTTTATGGAGGAACTGAGTCTTCTTATATATCCTTTTATTCATGTGTTAATTTATATGTTTGTTCATTGAAAAAATTAAAAATCAACTGGGCATCTATAATAAGGCAAACATTGGCCCTAACACAAAGATGACTAATAATAGCTCCTATTATGCTCTATAAATAAAACACAGTTAATCCTCACAACAACCCTCTAAGGTGGGTTGTTTTTTACCTCCATTTCACAGGTGAGAAGTAGTTGTTAGTTTGGCGGATTTCCAATCTTAAAGACACAACTCTTACAAAATTTCAAAAAACAACAAGCATTAAGAAAATAATGCATGCTTTTATATTGGATAGGAAGCAGCTAGATGTTATAGGTTCTAGAAGAAAGAGAACTTAAGGTAGTATAGCATGGGGAGCCAAGAGCACTGGTTTAGGAGTCACGCTGCACAGGATCAAATCTCAGATACCCTCTCCGTGTTTTCTGTGAGTTTTTGGGTAAATTACCTAACCTCTGGGCTTCAGATGCCTCATCTATAAAATGGGAATAATCATAGGGCCTGTCCCATTGTGCCACTGTGAGGGCTGAGTGAGATGATGCAAGTGAAAGCTCAGTACAGGGCCTGGCAGATAGGGCGCTCAATTAATATTGCCTCTTTCTATGATGAAGACTTGGACTCCAGGCCTAGTTCCTTCACATATCTGTTTTTCATCATGGACAAGTGACGTTTCCTCTTGGTTTCCTTGGGCAGATTGTTGGGACTGAATGACCTCTGAGATGTCTTCTAGATCTGAAGTCCTAAAGGCTTACAGTTCTATGGCTGTGTGGGAAAAGCAGGGCCCCAGAGCTGGAGAAGGGGAGTTATTGATAAAAAGTGCCCACTGAGAGACCAACAGTACTGTTGATGCCCTTGTAGTAGCAAGCTGTAAAGCACTGTGTTGGTTTCCCAATCTCACCAGGAGTTGGACATTATGTTTGGGTAATGGATAAGTAAATATACTATCCCAAGAAAAACAAGTATTAGACAGGGAAAAGAGAATCAGAACTGTCTGTGGAACTTCCCCGTCAGATTTCTGGAGCCTTGTCAAGGTTCCCAAATGGGCCCAGATGCAATCTTCAGAACTCTGACAGCATGTACAGCCATCCCAGGATTATTTTTAGGAGACCAGAGCTCCTGTCTACTGGCTACTTCAATGCAGCTAATTTTGCAAGACAGGTGACAATGAGGTCTGATTGATCAAATAAAAGAAGCTTAAGGCCTTCAGTTATTTCTTCTAAGGCCTTGAGAGTGTCATGATCAGAATGGAACTTAGAAAGTTTCTTGTTCATTGGTGCTAGCAGTGCCGAGATTTGTGGAGTTAGTGGGACTGTTATGAAAAAAGAAATCAGAAGGTTCAGAGATGTTGTAGAGTACATTTTTTTTTGGTCAAGAAAATATGAACAATCCATCAGCAAACGCCAAAAACAGCAATCCAAATACTATCTACTATCCCCATCACTTATAAAAGCAAACATATTTTTAACACCACAACTAGTGGAAAGACATATCCTCAGAATAAAGGCAAGGTTTTCTTTTTACCTAAATAAATTTAACATTATGAAAACTCACTACATTGCTCTTATCATTTTTAAAATCCTATGCCCACAAGTTTAAAATTTCCAATTTGTGTATGAAGCAGAATTTGAGAACCAGTGTTCCAACATCTTATTCTGATTTTGCAGATCCGAACACCGAGAATGGAAGGCAGGGATTGGTGACTTCATCTGCAAATGGTCTTTTGGGGCGTTGGGTTGGTATGAGAGACTCATGTGAAAGAAAGCCTGGTGCCATCAAAACCAGATAAATGGATTGGCCTGTTGCCTGTTTGCTACAAGGAGGGATGAGGGAAAGGGGCATAACAAAAAATACTTTGGTCTAAGAATCTGACATCTGCATTCCAGGCAAATTTACCTGCTGTTTGACCTTGGATAAGACACTGAAGCCACTGTATGTGGGTTTCAATTCCTCATATGTGACAACTGTCAAAATAATCTGTCTTGTCCTTAATACATAACAGAGTAAGCTTGGCCATCACTTAACAATGACAATGACAAATGACACCTGGAAGTAGCCTTCTCAATGTTCAACATGCTTCTCCTTATCTTTTTTCGTTGAGCTTCACAATAAAACTCTGAACATGGCAGAGCAGGTAAAGTCACATCTGTTTTACAGATAGAAAAATCTCAGTGGAGAGAGGGGAAGCTTCCTGTGCTACAGAGGAGCTAGGTAACAGTAACAACCTGGGCTGGATGTCACCCTCACCAACTCTGAATCTGTGATCTTTCCCTGAAAACAGAGGTGAAAGCACTTTGGAAAAAATCTAAGTGGGGACAGGAGCTAATAGTTGCTGAGCACATACAATGTGCCAGGCAATGTGCTAAATACATTACACTTATCTCACTTAGTCTTCAGGACCACTTTCTGAGTCACGTGCCATTTTACAGATGGGAACAGCAGGCTTGAGGGAAAGGCCACACGGCAAGTAAGAGGCAGAAGAAGAATTCAAACCCATGTTCGTCCAATTGTGGGGCTCCATGCTCTCTCTTGTCAAAACTGCAGGAATTATGGCAAAGTCCAGAATGGTAAGTCTCCTGACAAAAGTGTGTTTTAGAAGGAGATTGTGTAAAATAGTTTATTACTCTCCTGAGGCTGACATTGAATAATGATGTGATGATGTTCATGTCCAGGGTTTGTTATTCTTCCAACAAAAGGTAGAGCTGGTAGCCTCCTTGAAACTCTTTGGATCCCAAATACATGGTTGTATATATGCATATATATTATATAAAATTATTTTATATATAAAAATAAAATATATGTAATATATATAACATATTAAAGGCTTGGATTCTTATCTGTCAAGGTCTGTCAATTTGCAGATACATTTTTCTGATCAAATACTATGAGCTGTCAGATGACTTGACAGTAATATCCAAATAACTTATTTGTACCAGAAACTACCTTGAAAAGTTCACATACAGGAAGCCAGACTGCTTTGGAAAAAAATATTCAAAAAGAAAAATAAAGTAGGGTGAGGATCTTCTTGAAAATTTTATTGAGTTGGCCTTATTGCAATGCTTTCCTCCTGTCTTGATGACTTTGACATTATCAAAATCTTGGAAAGTTCCCAAGAGTTTATGAAACTGCACATACAGACAGTAGATAAAAATTAGGAGATGAATGCACCAAATGATCAAAGATGGTTATATTGTTCACGGGGTAGAATTACAGGGATGTGTACTTTGCATTGTGTACATCTTCGATGTTTGAATTTTAATATAATGAACGCGTGTAACTTTAATAAGCAGAAAAACTCAATAAAAATGAAAAAGAAAAGACTTTCAAAGCAAAAACATTAGTGCTATCAATGTATTTTTTTAAAAAGTTAGAAATCCCAACAAATTTTATAGTATTTTACCTAATTGTAATCACATAAGTAGTACATGAATATATTGTCCTAGTAAAAACGAAACTGTAGATAAGAGGTTGAAGTCTCCTAGGACAGCCTCTTCTCGTCAAACACACAGCATCCTGGAAGCCTGGTCTTCCTGCCCTCTCCATGGAGGCTGCTATGCATTCACATGTGGTTTTTCTCTTGCCAGACTCTGAGCTTCTTGAGGGGAAGGACGGGTTTTGTCTTTTCAGAGTCTCGCACAGTACCTGACAAAGTACCTTTTCTCTTTCTCTGGGTCAGCAGAGTTTACTGTGACACCAGAAACAGACCTTAATCACATCTGCCAGTGGACTTTGGATGGCCATTTGTGTTCATCTTGGCATCTTTGATAAAAAATATCAGAACCATAATAGGAAATGGAATAGCTATGTGTAACTGATACCAACCACCACTGATGCAACAATAAAAGGAAATGGTATACATGTTTTTCCCCAGTCCCCAGCCCTCCAGCTAAAACCAACCCTCCTATTAGGAGGATACCTCAGTTTCCACTTCCTCCTCTGTCCCTGTCAGTATCCTAGCTAGTAGCTGTTCAGTAGCTGAAATTTATACTACGGTTGCTTGACAAGTCCCTGCCTGCCTTTCTGGCCTCATCTCCACTACTTCCTACCCTGAACTGTATCCTCCAGCAATCTCTTCTGGTTTCTTCACATACGCAGAGTAACATCTTTATGCTGGTTTTCTCCTCTGCATAAAATATCCTGCTCTGATTTCTTTGCCTTGCTAATTAGTGTACAAATTATGTATACTAAAATCACCTTTTTGACAAATTCAAACTCATGTCTGTCTGACTGTGGGGCTCCATGCCCTCTCTCTACAATACTGTAAAGAGTGATGGAAACAACCACCATAATAAAAATATAAAGCAGCTATGTAATCCCCCAAATCACCCCATGCCATGCTCCATTGCTATCCATATGCTTACTCCATTCCCAGCCCTCCTTGCAGCTACTTATCTGTTTTCTGCCTCTGTAATTGTACCTTTTATAGGATGTCTTGTAAATGGAGTCATAAAATACCTAGCCTTTTGTATCTGGCTTCTTTCACTTGGCATACTGCACTTGAGATTCATTGATGTTGCACATAAGAGTGGATAATTCTATTTTTATTGCTGGACAGTATTCTATTGTATTATTTACATCATTTTTAAGACTCAGCTTAAGAGTCACTTTCTTCAAGAAGTCTTCTCTCATCTAAAGGTCATGTGTTGCCTCTGTGTTTCCATGGCCCCCAGACTGACCCTCCTCATAAGACATGGCACATTTTATATTCCTTACCTATTTATGAATCCCTAACTGAACTCAATTCTAGGAAGGGAGGAGGTGTGTTTTCATGATTCTCATACTCCTAACACATAGCAGCATGTACAATACCTAGTAGGTGCTTAAACGCAAGTATGAATGTATCTCCCATAGAGTGAGGCAGTCTTAAAAGAAGACATTTTGACGTTCTAAAAATGAACTCCCACTTGATGTGGTGTTATTTAATTCTCATTACAGCTCTCTGAAGTTGGCACTAACATACACACTTTACCAAACAGGAAATTAAGATGTCTATTTGAACCCAAAACCCACTCTAAAGTACAGTGTGACAATGATATTACTTTGTAACTCAAGTGACTTTTGGACTATGAATCTGTGTTTTGATAGCAAATGTCCATCTCCTTTAATCTGTTTTCTAGCTTAGCTCTGATCAAGCCTACTGGAAAATGAAGACACTGTCTTGCTGGCTAAAAACAAAGCTCTTAAGTTAGGTTGATCAAAATGGTGATGGGATGGCCCAGCAGATTACTGGTTTTTGAAAATGTGCTAATTCATCCCAGATGGCCAGGGTTGGCTGGAAAACTGGAGGCCATCATTGCTGCATGCATGAGCACTGAAGCTGCAGCTGGATGGCACCTGGCCACGTGCAAGGGGAAGCAATGATAGGGGTGTGGAAAGCAGATAAAAAGGACTTGGGTTTGATTGTCACTCAACCAGCTGTCTCTCAATTGAGAAAATTAATCTGACAAACCTTCCGCCTGAGACTTGTAAACAGCTAACATCAGTCCCCAGAAAGTGAGAGGGTCAGGGTCCATGCCTAGGGACAGGATGCAGAATGGTAATGACTTTGGGGAAGAAGGCTGAATCCTTCTCTTTCCTTATTCCATATGCAGTCCCTCACTCCTGCAAAAGACTAGGAGGGAATTAAATTCAACTCACATGGGCCAGTCGATCAAATCTGGCAAAGAGCTCGTTGAGCATCCTGACCAGCTCCTGAGCAGACAAGGTCGTGGAGAGGTTGGTAAATCCTTTAACATCTGCAAAAAGAATACTAAACACAGGGAAGAGGGTGGGGGTTGGGGGAGAAAACATATTAATATTTTAATCCACCTTGGGATACACATCAACATCCTCCCAATAGATAAACTGTCTTTGTGGTCTGAGATTTTAGCTCTCGCTGCCATGAGAGTCAGGAGGAATGTCTCAGTATTTAATAAATATCTCAGCAGAGAGTCCACCCAGGAGCTCAGGAAGGACAAGGGGACAACAGGAAGCCCTTTTGTCCTGTGCAGTGCTGTGTAGAGTGAGCAATGCAAACAACCCAAAAGAAAATTTGTCACCATGAAGAGATCAATTTCTTGTGAAAAGCAAGATGAAACTTTATGAATTATCTCTATATTTTCACAATGAACAGCAATGCACATGCAATGAACACAGAGTAAAACAGTCACAAAGGGCAGGGGCAGAACCCAAAACCTCATCATCTTGAACCCAATGACAGGTACTCTACCCAAAATGGCAGGTAAATTGGCATTTCTCAAAAATTATGACAATAGGTGGCAAATCTGGGAGACCTCAGGCAGAATAATTAATTTCCTAAAACTCTCACATTACTAAATATTTCAGTTAGGTGAGGTCTTGTTCTATGCATATGGCCTGGTACAAGGGACAGAGCAGCTTCCAAAAGCCTTCTAAAAGCCAGGTACTCTCTTAGTTAAACCATGCAGTTACTCGGTGGGGCAAGCACAGTTCCTTCCATTCAGTCCATGAGGAAACTGAGGCTCAAAGAGGCAAGGAGAATTGCCCAACATCTCACTAGTGGTACATGGCAGAGCTGGGATTGTCCATTTGGCTGAATTGCACTGAGGGACATTGCTCCAATCATCTTACCATGCCATCTCAGCGACCTCTCAAAGGAAAGATGGGACACCAAACAGGATACCATATTTGATCATTTCTCATTTTTCATCCTCTCTGAAAGTGAGGTGTGTCTTACAATTGATCACCTTAGCTGTGTGTCAAGCTTTTTACATCTTTTCTTAGTGTCGCCTAAAATAACGACAAGTCTTACAATCAGCCTATGAGTGTAATTTACTTTTAATGAAATAGGTAATTGGACTAGAAGACATTGTGGAATGTGTTGACTTACATCAGTCACCACATGTATTCAATCATTCTTAAAATTCATCTCCGTTACAAACCTTTTTAAGAATTTGACATAGACTAATGGATTATCTCTCCCCAAAATGCACAAGCATTCAAAATTTTTTTGAAAGAGATTTATACCTTCCACAAAGTCCATTCATGAAATCATTAGGAATCCTTAGATCTATTGCTTTAGTTAATTATTGAATGGCTCATTCTTTCAGCAAATATTTATATATTTACTATGTGATCAGCTGGGCACTGGGCTAGAAAGTTAGATTAAATGATATATAAGACCTAGTGCCTGTCCTCAAGACGCTGAGTCTGAGGAATGGAGCTGGAAAGACAAAGAGAAAAATGGAAACAGTGCAGGGTGATGATCACTGTGATTGAAGGACATATTGGGGGGTGATCAGCCACAAAGGGATCAGGAGTCTCCCAGCAGAGCAAAGTCTCAGCTGCTTCTTGAAGAATGTGATGAGCAAAGTGACTGGGAGGATGGATGCTCTGAGCAGAGAGAACAGTACATTCTAGGATCTGGTGGAAGAATGAGTATATATATATCAAGGTTCTGCAGTATTTCAAGGGCAGCCAGTCAGAAGGCCTCACTGAGCAAGGAGGCTAGAAAGAAGAGAGAGATGAGGTCAGAAATATGGGTTGGGCAATGATGGAGAAGGGGCTGGTAAACCAGGATGAAGAATGTAGACTTTGTCCTGAAAGTGATGGAAAGCTAGTGAATGGGATTTAAGCATGGACATGATGCCAATAGATTTTCAGTTTACAAAGCTACCTTTGGCAGAGTGACTATACTACCATTGTCTTCTACAGTTCTGTGGTGGCATAGCATATGGTTATATGCCCAGAATTTGAGTCTAGATAGATCTGGGTTCAAATCTTAGCTCACCACTTATGAATTGTATGACCTTGGGCAACTTCCTGAGCTTCTGTAAGCCCTAGCTCTGTAAACCGGAGATAACTGTCATAGTTGCCTCATTAGTGGGTAGCGTTTAGCACATCACCTGGCAATTGCCAGCATAGTAAATGCTCCTTAAATGTGTTAGATTTTGTTATCATTTTACAAAATTATACTATAATTGCACGTTATATTTGAGAGAGAAAGAGAAGAGAGAGGTAACAGAGGTAGAAAATAATACGGCCCTTCATTGGATTATGTATCACTTGTAGCTAAAAGCATTCCTAACTGTTGATGAAGCCTGAACTTCCAGAAGGTAGCAACACTTACAGAGTATTGACTGTGAACTTGGTATTGCTCTGGCAGCCCTACATGTATTCACTTATTTATTCCATGTAACTTATGAGGGAGAACCTATCATGATCTTCTCCATTTTATGGAACTGAGGCCTAAGTATCTTGCCCATAATCATGAAGAACTAGAATTTCAACCAGGAAGCCTGGCTCTGGCATCCATACTCTTTATTGCTCAACTATGTTACTTTTGAAGCAAGAAAAGTCATTGCTATGACAGGTGGGAAGTGGACAGGCTCTTAGATCACTGGTTTAGCACATTCCCTTTATGAATCCATAAGCCCCAAACTACTAGTATCAATCTGTCTATGGCAAGAATGGCATAGAATAAATAAATGCCAATTTATTTATTCATTCAACAGTTTATTAATTAAATGACTATTATATACCAGGCAGTGGAGATAAAGTAGTGAGCAGATGATAGCATCATCCCAGCCTTTATAAAGCTCACAGCCTACTGAAAAAACAAATGGATTCCCTGAGAGCTAAGATCATAAAAGTTTCAGATATCTTCAGTGTTCCAATATCATCAAACTTCTCCAGGTCTTTTGATCCCACCGTACGTTATGCACCTGTATCTTTGTACATGCTACACCTGCTCCCTGGTATAGCTTTTTCCCCCCTTTCGCTACCTATTAAAATCTGACTTGTCCTTCAAAGCCCCCCTCAGGTGTTAAAATCATGTTAAGAGTCTATACCTCTCTGGAGACTTCCCCAAGCATAGCCAGTTATCCCCAACTTGAGCTTCTCGCCCTGTTGGCACCCCTCTCTGTCATAACACTTAACTCTCCATAGCATAATCATATGTGGCTAAGTGTACTCCATCTATTAGCTGAAGAACAAGAATGAAGTCACCTCTGCATCTCACCTGCCCAGCACACAGTTGGCCGTATTACATGTTTCCTTAGTCCAATCAACAGAAACATTCAGAATTAAGTCCTCCTTCCTCAAAGCATGGTCATGGCCCCCAGTGGCATCTCATGAAACATTGTTAGAAATGTAGACTCTCAAGCCACCTCTCCAGACCCACTGTACCACAATCTGCTTTAACTGAGCCATAGATGATTTGGGTGCACATTTAAGACTCAGAAGCACTGGTGTAAGTCATAGTTGTACAATAAGGATTTATTGAATAAAAGACCAGAGGCAGAAACCAGGGCCCTTGTTCTCATTCCATTGCTTGTTCTGCCACCCCTGGTGCTGGGCTCAGATCATCAAGTCTTTTGATTCTTGGCATAAATTTGCAACTTTCCAGGATGAATATACCAAGGGGGCCATAGTAATTTTCAACTCTAATTTGGTTATATAAGTTGTTTATTTGGCTAAAAATAAGTCATGTTACCTAATAGTCACTCTTCAAATAGAATCCCCAAGGAAGCTTTTGCAGAGTTCAATAGAATCATTAGGAACATGGTGTCTGTGTAGACTCCTCTCACTAACTAAGTTTCAGATGTATTCAGTGTTCCAATATCATAACTGTGTGTTCTTGGGAAAGTTACTTAACCTCTCTGAGCTTCCATTTTTCTTGATAATAAAGCAAAGGTCATTAAAGCTACTCTGTAGGACTGCATAAGAAGATAACTTGCAAATCATTGCATAATTCTCAATAAATGAAGGGTATATAACTTCTTTGGGAAGTTTTTACAAATCTGGAAGTGCTTAACTGCCATGAGGATGGATCTAGAAAGTCATAAAGTTCTCTAGGTCCATTCAATTGCATTTTGCTTGTTCACAAAACTCTAGTCTACAGTACAGATGTAGTGATCACACATGTTGACAGGGCTGGCTGGAAATTAACAGCCGGTCAAGAAAGCGAACAGACTGAGCGAGAGTCTAAAAATGAAGATTTTTCTGATCCTTGACAATGGTTCACTAAATGTCTACCATAGCATAGGAAGAGATAAAGACAAAGGTGTCTCCCAGACAGACCCACAAAATATGTGTCAGCAAATGTGCAAATGTACATGAAATGGAGTTGGCAGGGCTAATAGGAAATAGGAAAAAGAACCATGACAGAGAAGGATGACTGCCCACCAAATCCATGCCTCTGTTTGCATAGTCAATCCACCTGTCACTAGGAAAGGCCACTGAGCCAGAGGCACTGTTCTCAGCCCACTTTGTTTCCAGGTGAGCACCTGGAATTGATTCTCCCTAATGGAATCTGAGCAGAAATGACATGTCATTTTCTGGTTAAGGTGGTAAAAAAAAAAAAAAAAAAAAAAAGTGGGTGTGAGTACTCTGTGCTTCCCCTTCCAATAACCAAATGCTGGGAACTTTGAGGCCCAAGGGATGGTAGTTACAAAACAAAGGAGCCTTTGTTCCCGAATCACCCACTGACCAGTAATATCAGCAGTGAACACTTGTGTGAATAAATTTGATTGCGTTAAAAATCACTGAAATTGGAAGGGTATTTGAAAGAGCAGATAGCATTACCCTAATGAATACAAGAAGTGTCTTAAGTATCTGGGGGAAAAAACAGGAAAGATAAATAGAATTGGGTAGGTGGGATGGAGAGCCTGAATGGCTTCCAGTAAAAAGCTGGTGGCCAGGTGGATCCTCAGGTGAACCTAGAGAAGTCTCAGAGGTTGATAGCTGAAATCAACTTGAGCGTTCAAAAGAGCCCAGCTTTTGGATTGGGAAACGGAGGCCCACCGAGGTGAGGTGATGCAGTCGAAGTCTCGCCAAGGGTGTGGCTACCCCAGCCCACGTGGGCACAGGAATGCCCCCAAGCATGGCGCCTTTAACCATACCCTTTCCTGATGAAGGTAAACAGTGGTGTGAAATATAAGTCAAGACTTAGAAGTGTACAGCACTTTTTAAGTAAAGAGTCTTCAAAATTAAAAAGACAAACAAACAAACCCCCCCCCCCCACACACACAAAAAAAAAAAGGCAAGGGAGAAGAAAGAATGCACCAGGCAGTTTACCACGAAGAGGGTGACAGGTTTGGAAATGATTTCAAAAAGGCTCCCAACACCGCAGCGGGGTTGCTTTGGGGGTTGGGGAAGGCGGTGGAGTAGCCAGTTGGCTTTGTTCTCCGACTTGGGCTAGGGACCGTCCTCCTCTGCTTTCAAGGCTCTGGTCTTATTTTAGCATCCTGCAGCCTCGCAGTGGGCAGGAGACGCCCCGCCGCCCCGAGGTGAGTTCATCTTCCCGAAACCCCCGGAGCCGCGGGCATCTCGCCACGCTGCTCTGAGAATAGCCCGGGAGCCACTGGGCCGGCGGCTGGTTTCTGCTTCAGTTCTCCTCCCCCTAGTAACGGCTCTGAAAATGCGGAGACACGGAGGGCAGAAAACGAAATTTTAATGTACTGTGGCATGAACTTCTGGAAAAGGGTCTCCAGCGCGAGAACTCAGTTTGATGACTTAAAATAAATGGGCGGGGTTGGAGGGGTGGGGGTAGAAGAAACTAGCTGCTCAGGAGTGATGGGAGCACTGAAAAAGGATTCCTGCAAAAACCAAGCTGCCAAACATGTTTATTGCACTTAAGGCACCTGAGCATGTCGGTGTGGGCGCGAGGGCTTGTTGAATTTTCCCTGTATTTCTTTTAAAAGGTATTTTTCGCTCCTTCTTTCTCCATGGTGACAGGCACTTTCATCAGATGTCACATATTTTATTTATGTATTTATATGATTCGTATATATTTATAGCTGAATATGTAATTAAATATTTATTTATTTTCCCCCCAAATATTCATGCAATTTCTGCTTTCTCTGGATCTGCATTTATGGTCAAGCCATTTTGCCACCAGGGAAGGAACATGGAACACCAACTATGATTCTCTGCATGGACCATGGCTCTGCCTTCACTTCTGCTGACGCTTTTGCTCAGAATTCATGTATTTGTGTTTTTCACTTGGCTGACTTCGTCTCAAATAAAGCTAAGAAGAATCATCATCTCTTCCAGGAAGGTTTCTCTACCTATCTCTCCCCACCCTCCACCTCCTAGCCCCAGGTTTTCCTCCTTTTATGATCTCTTGGCATTTGTTGCCTGCTTAATAATCAAACCCCATACTCTATTATGATTAATAGGTGCCTATTGTCTTAGAACTAGTATTGAAGAGTTCTTATTATGTGTGGGACCAATTCCTAGATCTGGGGCACATCTCTTACTGGAATTGCTGTTTGACAAAGGACTATTTTGCAAACTCAAGCATCTAACTCAGTGTAGCTCAAATCTTGGACAAGACCCTGGGAATGACCTATTCTGCTATGCGCACTGAAGGGTTGTGTTAGAATCATGATCTCTACTGAATTTCAAAATGTGTGTCCCTGCATGCCAGGAATGGAACACCTACAGATGCTGGTAAGTGCAAAGTTGTCCTCTGTCCTACTGACATTAGGAAGAAGGGAACTATGAGAATAGGTTTGTCATTTTTGAAGTTGCTTAATGTAAGGACTCTGACTCTATGTCTGGGAAATTTTTACCTTATGATATTTGGGGGGTGGGAAATACAGTTCCACTGTATAAGCTGAAAATGCCAGAGACTTGCTTTCCAGGCACTTGAAGAAAATGACTGGGCTCAGCCAATCAGACCCATCTGCTCCAGGCTTTAACTTGAGATGCAAAGAAGCAGCAGGAGCAGGAAGTCAGGGCAGAGCAAAGACAGCAATATCAGTTTCTGGGGCTGCAGGAGGAACTGCAGCGGTGGCATGCCGCGTCAGGGGTCAGGGTTGATTGCACAAGCAATGGACTGGTCAGAGACAGTTGGCAGTGGCTACTGCCAACTGCCAGCTGGCCTAGTGCTCTGGCCTGATTTTGCCTATGCCTTTCACTCTGTGGCCTTGCTTCATTCTGGCCCATTTCCCCTGGCCCATTTCCCCCATGCACTTCTCCATTCTTCCCTAATTATTCTGTAATCCGCGACATAACCTTTCAATACATTTCCTTTTTTTTTTTGAAATGAAGTCTTGCTCTGTTGCCAGGCTGGAGTTCAGTGGCACGATCGCAGTTCACTGCAACCTCTGCCTCCCGGGTTCAAGCGATTCTCCTGCCTCAGCCTCCTGAGTAGCTGAGACTATAGGCATGCACCACCACACTCAGCTAATTTTTGTATTTTTAGTAGAGATGAGGTTTCACCATGTTGGCCAGGATGGTCTCAATCTCTTGACCTCGTGATCCGCCCACCTTGGCCTCCCAAAGTGCTGGGATTACAGGCATGAGCCACCACGCCCAGCCAATACATTTCTTTTAAATCAGTCATGGTTGGATTCTTTTGATTGCAACTAGGAAACATGTCTGAAATGAACTACAATATACTGAATGCTCTACTACTTGCTTAACTCTGCCTGTTGTATATTTTGTATTAATCTTCACTTACGTGATCCACATAAAACTCTGCAAAGTGGCTAAGAGATGCTCATTTTACAGAGAAGAATTTTGAGATTCAGGTAAATAAATTTCCCAAGATCACAAATAAGGAATAGGCAGAATTGGGATTTTAAAGCTGGTCTGCCTCACCATGGAGTTCACCCTTTGATTTTCATTACATGCCATGGTGTCCAGTGTTGTGCTGGGTACGTAGAGGGCACTGATGCATGGATGGGGGAGTGAGTGGGAAGATACATGGATGGATGGATGGGTGGATGGATAGATGGATGGTTGACTAAAAATATGTTTGCAAAGGAAAATAAACTGTCATTCTTTTGTATTGTTTTAAACACACTTATGATAAATACAAGGAGGAGATGTATGTGATCACAACTGAAACCCCCAAATTACATTCTGGGATTATTTTTCTGATTATAGTTTAAAAGGTGTTTGCCTTTCCCACTCAAAATGTAAAGACAGACATGCCTACTATAGGAGAGCTAGGCAGTAGGTCAACCAGGGAATATAATTTTATTCTGTGACATTCTTCTCCAGCCTTAATTTGGAAATGTAGAACTCTCTGATGAATAATCACTAGGTAATGAGTTAATCAACCAAATGAGGAAAGGTGCTGACATTCAGGCAGACAGAAGTCACGGAAGTGCGATGAGGGCACCCAAACACACATGGATCACGCCGAGAGCCGGGGCAAGAGTGTTGCGTTTCTCACCTGACATTCTCATAGCGATGGATGTAGATCCGATGGAACTGGTGCTGCAGGTGCTCGTCTTCCACATTGGTCATGTCATTGATCATTTCCAGGACAACAAACCGGGGGAGCACAGAAAGCACGAGCCGCTCCTGGAACAAATGAAGAGGGACAGTCCTGTTAGGCTGACCAGCGAGTCTCAGATGGGAGGGTGAAGGGTGGAGAAGTCATGGGACTTTTGGATGAACTTCCTTTGGAATTGATAATTTCATACCATTCTATGAATATGACAAATATTTACTGAGTACTTATTACTTGCCAGGCATTCTGCTGGATGTTGGATATATAGTGGTGAGCCAAGTGGATGTGGTTCTGACTATAGTGGAGCTTGCATTCTAATAAGGAAGATACATTAAGTATTACATACCCAAAGATACCTACACACATTCACAAAATGTGATGAGTGCCATGCAAAAACAGGTCACGATGAGAGAGTACAATGGTTGATGACAGCGATTCATATCAGGGATTAAGAATGGCCTTACCAAGGAACTGATATTTAAAATTGAGACCTGAAAATTTGGAAGGAGTCAGTCCTGTGTAGTGCAAGGAGACATCCAGGAATTAAAAATAATAACTACAAATATCCTGAGGCAGAAAAGAGCAATGGTGTAGCTGGAGGGTGGTGATAGCCATGAGGTTGGAGGTATAGCTAGATCTTACAGGTTATACGATATTTGCGTTTAATTCCAACTACAACTGAAAGCCACTAAATGGTACTAAGCAGCAGAGTGACATAAGTGGATTCATGTTTTAAAAGATCACTTTGTCTGGGATTTGGAGAATGTGTTCTGGGGAGGAGCCAAGGCTGGAGACAGAAGGACCAGGTGGGGAAGCTCCTGGAATGTCCAGGTGAGGTAAGATTCATAGAACTGGCAACCTAGATGGCAGGAAAGAAAGAGGGTGTGCCCATCATGACAACTAGTTTTGAATTTGGTTGCCTGGGAGAGTGAGCCACACTTATAGAAACAGGGAACATACAAAAGAAACTAGGCTTACAAGGCACTAGCTCTTTATCAAAGATGAGGGGAAGTGAGACGCACACAGCCAGAAAGTGGGTTCCTAACATCAGACAATAATATTCTTTCTATTGTGATCACCACTGTACATAAAAGCAAAGGAATGGGTTAACTAGCAACATGAATTCTAAAAAGTCCTTGTGTTGTGGAAACTAGGCAAGAGGCTGGCTTCTGACACATGGTTTACTTGGTTACATGGTTTACTGTGATAGATGAAGTTTAATACTTTTAGTTGAATAACAGAAAATAGGGTAATTATCATTGATATGATCGTAATAGGTCATGTGGAAGTATCTAGTTGAGGCATATCACTGTAGAGAGTTAAAATTTCTCTCGGTCTATGGTTTACTATAGTGTCAAACTGAGTTTAAGATAGGCACATTCTAATCACCACAGTTCCTCATATCTTTGTAGTTATTTATGGGTATTAAGCATTGTTACCATTCATTCTTTCATGTGTTTCTCTCGAAACCCTGACAATCAGCTTGCAGAAATAATCATTTTCATATAATGGACAGACTGAGTCCAGGAGAGATTAAGTTACCTGCACAACCTGAACAGTTAATCAAGCGACAGTTGCAGGATGCGGTCCTTTCCCTTGTTATTCCTTGCTGGGATTCTTGGTGAGATGGGAAAAGTCTTGGATTGAGTCTGATGGAGAAGTTTAGATTCCGACTCTATCATTGGATATTCATGTGGCATTAGGTAAACTACCTCATCTTTCTGTGCCTTAGTTCCCTAATTTGGCAAATATTAATAGCACTAATGTCATCTAGTTCAACGGGTTGCTGTGAGAATTCAATGCAATAAAATATGTGAGGGGCCTGGCATCAAATCCTTCTCCCTTCTCTCACCTCTACTTAACCCTGCCTCTCATGCAAAAGGCTTTATTAATGAAGTGCCCATTGAACGACATATGATGAAGCCCTTTCTTCTCTTGAGTGCTATCCCATCACGGGACTAAGAGGCATGTTTTCTGCAAATGCCCCAACATCATGTCCATTTTGTGTTCATTTGTGCTATTTGTCAACTTCCCAGGTACTTGTGGCCCTGTTCTCTCAATTGCTGCTGGGTGGGAGTAGGTGCTAATCACAGCTTTGAGGGGCACTAGTGCTCTGTCAATGGCTGGGGATGTTTAATTAAGATGCCACTGCATCTGCACTTGTAAGGGAGGCAATAGAGCTGTAATACACAACCCACACACACTCCTGGACCCCACGGTCAATTTGTAAAAGTGTTTGATTGCAAATGATCCTTACACTAGTGTTGTATTACAGTGATGTTTTAATAACCAGAATGAGAAAAATGGAAGAACGTATGTTAGGAAGAGAATGGCACAGGAGACAAAAAGGTGGTGATGCAGCAAATAAAATGATCCAAGTGTAGGGAAGACATGGGAACTGAAGAGAGACACAAGAAAGGTATTCATTCACAGGACCTACTTAAGAAGATGTTCCTCCCTGAAATGCAAGTCCATGGACATATTTATGAGGCTATCCCATGGATTCTGTGCTCTGACCATTCCTCAGAATGTTTTGAAGGGTCATAAAAGCGCAGCTGCCCTGACCTCGCCCAGACCTACTGAATTGGACTCTGAAAAAAATGGTCAAGCAGGTGGGGTTTTTAAAAACTCCTTAGGTTTTTGGGATACTCAGGTAGGATTGAGAAATGCTGGCTTATCCTGTGGCAAGCACTACTAAGCACATTATTATACTCAACCTTTACTATAGTTCCACAAAACAGGTTATTTCCCAAATAAAACAAAAACATGGTTATAGTAAACTGATTACCTAGCAACATGAGGACCTAGATCATAAATAGCAAAGAATTGAAACCAAATTCTCCTGACTCCCAAAATATCTCTAACGACTGCACTTCCTACATAATGTATTCTAATCACCTCTCATCTGATCCACATGGCTCTTCAGAAAATTATAAATTAAGGCAGCAAGTGGGCTATTCCTATGATTGGAGCTAACAGCATGCAACAAAGCATCAGAGGAGGAAAGAACCATTGTTCATTAAGGAAGATGAGGGAGGAGTTTCTAAGGAGGGTTCCTGAAAAATGGGTGAGGGTTCAAATATTATATTTATTTATTCATTTAACAAATATTTATTGAGAACATACTCCATGTCAGTTCATTTCTAGATACGGGAGATATATAGATACAAGAGAGTAAGACAGCCAAGATCCTAGAGGGAGATTTTACAGGTAGAGACTGACAGGCTCCCAGAATGGCGTGTAAACATAAGCAGTCTTACTTCAGAGCTACCATCTAGTTGGCTCTGAAGCAACTACTGTGGGCCAGGGACTGAGTTAAGAGATTCATACATAATTTCATGTGACATTCCACATAACTCCATGGCAGAAATAACTCATCGTAGATTAACAAATGAGAAAACGAAGGCTCGGAGAAGTAGTTTCTCAAGGTTATACAGCAAAGAAGGGCCAGTATCTCAGACCTCAGAGCCAGTTGGAAGCTTCCCCTTCACCTTATCAGAGAAAGCCGTTCCTAAAAAAAAATCCCTCCAAGCCCCATTTTCAGAAATTGAAAATGTAGTTACCACTGAAATTAGAGGTGCACAATTACGTCTACAGTTAAACAAAACATACACGTGATACTCAATGATTACTTAATTGAATCTTTAAAATAAAAATAAAACAAAAATAAAACAGAATAGTACAGTTAAAAGAAATCAATGAAAATATGTCAAATGGTGCCAAAAATTGTTGCTACCATACATTATGCAAACTAAAAACATTTTTTAAATGAAAAATTAAGAATCTTTACAACTGCAATCTAAGAAGACCAATAGTGGGTTTCCTTTTGTGGAACTCAGCTGCTTTTCAGACACATGGATGCTGCATCAGATTTTCTGATGTGAAGAAATGCCTAGGGAAGTAGTTATTAAATGAAATTCATCTGAAGTTAAATGTGTGGAGCCAGGCCGAGTGTGGTTGCTAAGGCCTGTAAATCCCAGCACTTTGGGTGGCTGAGCTGGGAAGAACGCTTGAGCACAGGAGTTTGAGACTAGCCTGGGCAACATGTCAAGACCTCATCTCTACAAAAAATTTAAAAATTAGCCAGGTATGGTGGCATGTGCCTATAGTCCCAGATACTTGGGAGGCTGAGGTAGGAGGATTGTTTGAGCCAGGGAGGTCGAGACTGCAATGAGCTGTGTTTGTGCCACTGCACTCCAGCCTGGGCAACAGAGAAAGACCTTGCCTCAAAAAAAAAAAAAAAAAAAAAAAAAAATCTGTGGAAGTAGATTTGTATCTTTGAATGGAAAAGCGCAGCTCTGCTTGGCTAACCCTTGTTTTCTTCTCCCACCCCCAACACACTCTAGGATCCTGTAATGAGAGAGAGACTTGTCTATCCACACATCCTCTACTCTGAGCAGGAGATCGTGGGCTATTTATTGTGTTAAACTGAGCACAGGTTACTACAATGTGTGCTACTATTCTTCTGTCCTTAAATATCCTTTCTCCATTGTCATTTCCTGTGGTTTGCACATGGACTCCTACTCACCTTCAAATTTTAGGGTAAATCTCATTTCCGTGGTGAAGGGGATTAGTCACTACCTCCAATAGCATGTTCCTTTGCTCAGATCTGTCTCACAGCATTTATTACACCACATGGCACCTGTCTGCTTATATACCAGTTGGTAAACTCGGAGCTCTTTGAGGTCATCTTTTTGTATCCAAGGCCCAGAATAATGCCTTGTGGTATGGTTTGGCTCTGACCCCATCAAAATCTCATCTTAAATTGTACTCACATAATTCCCACATGTTGTGGGAGGGACCCGGTGGGAGATAATTGAATCATAGGGGTGATTTCTTCCTTACTGTTCTCATGGTAGTGAAGAAGTCTCACTAGATTTGATGATTTGATCAGGAAAAAACCCTTTCACTTGGCTCTCATTCTCTCTTTGCCTGCAGCCATCCATGTAAGATGTGATGTGCTCCTCCTTGCTTTCTGCCATGATCGTGAGGCTTCCCCAGCCATGTGGAACTGTAAGTCCAATTAAACCTTTTTTCCTGTATAAATTACCCAGTCTCAGGTATATCTTTA